CTAAAGAAGCGTGTCTTAACTAATTCCTTTGAACTTTTTTCACCTATTGTACCTCTCGATATCTCCCCACCTTGCACTTTTTCTTTTTTTTTTTTCTCATGTCGTGGAAGTGCAGCAGTGCTCCTTCATTCTTGTATCTGAAAGGCCTTTTACAATATAATATCCCCGAACACTCTTTCTGTTTTTGTAAGTGAAATGTTGAGTCCGTTTGCTGAATCAGTATCACGTCTGCTGGAATTCCCGGAGCGGAGAAAAAGTTTCGTTTCAATCAGAGAACGTGTGGTGCGGGCTGGGCTTCCACCATGCCTTCCCGCCACGCCACCCAAAAAAAGAAAAAGATGCAAGCAAAGAATCCGGCCTAGCAGAGTAAGCATTCCCTCTATCAGTATAGCACTCTAGTCTTTATGGCGCAATCAGGTAAGCGATTTATGTATTCATTAGTTCCCCGGGAGTAGGAACTGTCTGAAAGTGGCAGGAGCATTGGTCAGGCCAAAGGGCATAACGCGATACTTAAACGCACCATATCGGGTAACATAGTAGTCTTTGGCTTATCTTTAGCCGCTATTCTGACTTGATAGTACCCGGAGCGTAAGTCCAGCTTAGTGAAATAAGTTTCCTTACCCAAACGATCGAGCAAGTCAGCCACCAGCGAGACTGGGTATTTTTTCTTCACCGTTACCTTATTAAAAGCACGATAGTCAACACATAGTCTAAGGGACCGGACCCATCTTCTTTTTTTTGAAAAGAGGACAGGTGCCCCATACGGCGCTTTATAGGGTTGAATATCACCCGCTTCAAGCAATTCCTCTAATTGCTTTCGAAGTTCTTCTAGTTCGATGGGAGCCATCCGGTAAGGTGCTTTAGCCGGGGGCCGTGCACCTAGAACCAACTCAATTTGGTGATTAATAGCCCTTCGGGGAGCGGATGTCATGCCACCGCAACTACCGAGAACTCAGTCAAAAAATCTGTTATTGCTTTCGGAATTTGGGCTTCCCCAACATTTTCGTTTTCTATAATAGTGGCTAGGTAGGTAACTGCCCCCTTTCGCGCACTATCACGAATCTGAAGCGCAGAAACCTACTTTACCCTCTTCTGTTTTATGACCCTCGAACAAAACACGGACTTTTATCGCATTTGCATTTCAGGATACCACCTCGACGCGGTGAAACGTAAACTCTTGTCTTCCGCAAGAATTCCAAACCCAATAGAAAAGTGGAAGTCATCCAACGGCACCAACATCAAGTAAAACTTTCCAGACCATTCGCCAATCTGTAGCGGAACTATCTTAGCTACCCTAACAATAGGTTTCGCCTCAGAGTTCACTGCCTGAATTTATATTTTGCTGTTTCCCTTATCAACCCGTAGGCCTAGCCGCGCTATGATCCGACCAGAAAGGAAGTTATGAGTAGCACCGGTGTCAACCATTGCCCTCACAACCTGTCCATTGACTTTTACATTTTCGAACATTAGCCTAGTATCTGATCGACTCTCTTGTCTAATGGAATTCAAGAGTTGAGACCCTCGAAGTGGTTTCTTCAACCGGCGCTTGGTCTTCTTCAGCAATCAAGGCATTGAGTTTCTCTCTCTTCGGACTTGGGGACCGCCGCAAATGAAACACCCCGGATCCAGCGCTTTGCCTTTGCCCTTGTTGTCAACATTTGCTTTGGGTGTTGATGCTTCATGATCGTTCTTCCCACTGAACTTCTTCTTGCCCTTAGAGGTTTTGTTCTTTTCTGCCCCATCTGAACTTCCTTTGAAGTCCATTAAACTCTCTGCTACCGTGATAGCTGAAGCGAGGTTATTTACTTTCTCCCTCCTAAGTTCGTTCTGAACCTACAACTGCAATCCAGCATAAAGTTGTAAAGCTTTTCTTCCTCACTTATACTACCCACTTCGAGCATCAGAGATTGGAAGCTCCTCATATACTCTCTAACTGAACCCGTTTGCCTCAAACGCCTTAAGAAGTCTCTTGCTAGCCATTGGACATTACACGGCAAAAACGGATTTCTCAGCTCTTGTTTCATCTCTGGCCAATCGGTGATAGGTTGGCGTGAAGAATCCTCAACTCTGGTTTTCCACCATAGTTTTTCATCACCAAAAAAAAAATAGGGAGTAATGAAAACTTTATCCGCTTCCGGTATATGAGTCACTCTGAAATACTGTTAGACATCGAACACGAAGT